CTCTCTCTCTCTCTCTCTCTCTCTCTCTCTCTCTCTCTCTCTCTCTCTCACAATAAAGAGAGTGTAGCAGAGAGCAGAGTCCTATTTAAGAGGTCTTGAGTGAAGCCTTCAGGCCCCGCCCCCTGCTGTAGTCCAGCTTTCAGGAAATTCTTTGCTACATTGAAGCTCACCAAAGCCAACCCGGTTTGCAAGGGGCTCCCTTGCTCAGCTACAGCCAGAGAAGTTGATTTGATTTGGCAAGGAGGGGGATGAAGAAAAACGAGATGAAGGAGCTCAGAGGTGGGAGAAAGTGAAGAAGGAATTCTGCCCCCAGCCTGGAACTAAACTAGGAAGACCAGGAAGGGAGTGTCAGCTGGAGGAAGGAATCAAAGCTCTCAGCTGGGGACCACCCCTTTCTGGCCCCATCACCACCACCAATACACACTGTATTCTCCTTCACCAGGATGGAACCCAGTGTAGAAAGCACAGGCTGATGGGATCTACTGCACTCCACCCCCTGCACACTATGGGGTTCCCAGGGAGTTGCAGGACTCCCAAGTCACCACACTACAGGCACTTCTGGAGACCGGGGGAAATGGCTGGCACTTCCACAGACACGCAGGCTTTTTTGCCCCAGGCAGCTATTGACCTGGCCTACACTCAGTCTAAGGCAATGGGGCAGCATAAGTTTTCCACACATTTTCCAAGTGCATGAGGGTGTGTGTGTGCTACGAGGGAGTCTTGGCCTGCTCTATCCTCTAAATCTCCCCTTTTAACATAATCCTTGCAATGTAACTTGAGAACACAAAAGTTCCTTTTCTTTTAAGGCATTGTCAGCTTGCAGCTTGTCCGAGAAGATAAGGATATTTCAACTCACTATAGTCAACCAAGAAAAACATGAGACAGAGAGAGAGAGAGAGAGAGAGAGAGAGAGAGAGAGAGAGAGAGAGAGAGAGAGAGTGTCAGTCAGTCTTAGGTGACTAAACACAAGAGTGCCAACTGCTGACAGGCAAAGGAACCGGAATTTGTCTGGGAGCACTTCAAAAGCCTTCCAATTAATAAGCTCACCCTTCACCCTTTCTAGGTCCCAAGCCTCTTGGATCTGGGCTTTCTGAAGAGCTGAGATTTTTGTTCTGGTTGTAGAGAGTGGTGTCCGCGCGGACTTCATCTTCGGTTCATTCATGCATTTGCTCATCCATTCACACAAACATGTCCCTTAATTGTGTCTGGGACTGAGAATCTTGCCTGCAATTTCCCCTCCCCAAGTCAGAGCTCATGGCAATGGCTAGTTCAGAACACAACTCAACTGTCACCCCATTTCCTGCGCCAGAAAAGCAAGTCCTGTAGACATTCACAGAAAGGGGGAAAGGAGATTTAAAAAAAAAAAAAAAAGATAAAAACAGAGAAAGGATGACAGCACCTGCAAGGAGAGGGGCCTCCCAGGCAGTAAGGGATGGGGAAGTGGAAGGGACTCGGGGTGACATTCCAAGGTTCCCTTTAGGGGGAACCGCGGCAGTGACACCCCGGCATGAAAGCAGCCAAACCATTATTAAATCCAAGACTGCAAGAGCTCGTGTTCCCCCGCGGGGATAAATCAAGTGCAAAGCCACTGTTTCCCGCGAGTGCGATGCTGTTGGCCCGACCCAACTCTGAGCCCCAGTCGAGGAGCCAGCCGGGGGAGCCGCTCACAGCCCAATCCGCAGCGCGCTCGCTGCCTCCTTCCAGCTCCCAATAACGTGATGAAGTGTAAATCAAATGCCACGCCAGGAGGGGCCCCTGAACGGCGCGGAGTCGTGCATCTTAGCTCAGCAACCTATCTTGCCTAGGAATCACAAGGTCACGATAGCGTCGCGATTCCACTCACCGTACACTCCTTGGCCAGAGATCCCCTCCAGGAGGACTGTCAGCAGCCACACGAGACCGTACACTAAATCCATCTTCACGTGAACATGAACATATCCAGCCCAAGGGGGACGCAGTGGAACCTTCCGGAGGCCAGCGGCCAGCCAGGCGCGCTCCACTTGTGCCCGGGCCGAGTCGAGGTGCCCGGGAACTGCTCCCGATGGGAGGAAGCGCCGTCCGTCTGTCCTTCCCTGGCGGCGGCCGAGAGCGGAGCGCTGGAGCCCCACACACCCCACACTCATGCACACACACACACACACACACACACACACACACACACACAAGCACACACTCTCTCACACACACAAGCACACGCACACACACACACAAGCACACGCACACACACACACAAGCACACGCGCGAACACACTCCCACTACACAATACCCCGCTACACGCACTCACAAGCAAGCCGCACTCACACCGGGCGCCTGGGAAAATCGCAGACGCCTGGGAGGAGCAGGGGGCGGTGATGGGAAGCAGAGCCGCGAGGACAAGTGTTCTTCGGGGAAGCGGCTCCGGGATCCGGGCGCGAGCAAGCGGCGGGCGCGGGCAGGGACCCCGGGGGCGCCACGCGATGCGAACCGCGCTGGACAGCCAGCCGGGGAGCAGGAAGTGGCCTCTGACCCGGGCACGAAGCGGGGCTCCCTCGCCCCGGGTTCGCCTTTACAAAGTAACTCGCGAAGGTCCCCAGAGGAGCGTCAAGCGGCGGCAGCGGCTCGCCCGCCCGCAGTCCGGAGCCCCCAGCCCTGCTGTCTTGCCTTCCCCCATTCCATCAGTTGCCATTGCAACGCCAATCCTGTTACACGACACAGACTCGCATCGCCGAGCGGGGAGAGGAAGAGGAGGAGGAAGAGGAGGAGTGGGAAACGGGGGATGGGGAGGAGGGAGAGGAGGTGGAGAGAGGAGGACGAAAGGGTCCAGGCGGGAGCGGAGTGCCCGTCTGGAGCTCGCCAGGCACCAGCCTCAGCCGCTGCTGCCACCGCCACGGCTCTCCCAAACAGCCTTGAGCGCCCCGCCAGCCAAGAGGGTGCTCCTGCCGGCAACACCGATCCCCGGAGCCAAAAGCAGAGTCCGAGCACCGCCACTTGTAGGAGAGGAAAGATGCCGAGTGGAGAGAGCAGATCCGCACACCGTCCACGCGTGCCCACCCGTACCGCGCGTCCTCTTCGCTTCCGCGCCGCCCCCGCCAGGTGGAGGGGGTGGGGGCGGTCGGGACTGGCGGGAGTTTAGACCCGGGAGCCGCAGAAGGGCTTCCCCACCCGGGCTAAGGGAGTGCTGGCATCCAGAGCGGAACGGAGGAGCGGCTGCCTGCTGAGGGCACCCGGGCTGCGTGGCCGCCTCGCGGGCCGCAGTTGCGGCAGAGATGCCCGAGCTGGGCAGAGGAGCGCCCCGGGCCCTACGCTTGCCCGGGATCCCTTGGATTGGCGCTGGGGGTTGCGCGCCGCGGAGGCGAGAGGAGGGAGGAGGAGGAGGAGGATGGAGAAGCGGCCGACGCGGAGCGCAGGCGGCCCGGCTGCCGGGGAGGAAGGCTGTGTGTGGTCACGTTGTGCGCTACGTGCTGAGAGCGCGAGGCTGCTAGCCGCAGCCCGGCGACGTCAAAGCCGAGTGCGCGGCTCGGCCGCCTTCCTCTGAGCCCCCTCTTGCTTCCCCGGCTCCTCCTCGGATGTGCTTGCCCAGGGTCAGCCCAGGAGCTCATCAGCACTGACAGCGCCCAAGGGCTCTCCTGGGCAGCGGCACCCAGTCTCTCTTCTACCCCGCTGAGGCCCTCCCTGGTTCTCCCTAGCTCCACGGGGGCGAGGGCTGGTAATTCATTTCCGATGCCGCCGCCGCTGGCGTTTGCACGCGGAAGGGAAGGGAAGGGCCGGCTACGTCCTCAGACACGCGGTAATTACAGGACACCTTATTCCCTTCCTACCGTCCAAGGTCTTCCAGGATCCCTTCTGCTTGGCTAGAGGGCAGAACAGGCCAAAGCATTGGAAGCCGCATCATTCTTCTCCATTTTCTGTCATGTTTTAGTGAAAATATGGTCATCATAACAGAGGAAGACTGCGGGGAAGGGATGAACACCAGGAGTTCAGAGAGGGGCGGATTTATATGTAATGCCCCCTAAAGTTAAACACCTGGAAAAGCCCCTCTTTTGTGAGGGCTCTGTCTTTGAGATGAGACCAGCTCTGATGAGGTGCTTAAAAATGTCCCTATTACAAAATGATGATAAAGTCAAAGCATCTGTAATTTACACTAGAACAGGTGGAGAACTCATTCACCAAAGCGTCATGGGAAATATCTGAGACCCTCTGAGTCCCTTTGATATATTCCTTATTCAAATTAGTGTTTAATGTCTATAATCCAGTTAGCTACAATATGGTAGGGAAGTGAGTGAAATGGTTAACTTTGTGCATTTATACACGTGAAAAAGTTATTGTCAGGAAAATTTCGAATACAGTATTCATTTATCTATCTCCGTCATAACCTGATAATCATACACTGCCACTGCAGGGTCCTTCTATTCATGAGGCACTTCTGCTGGGGATTGGGGCGGGGGGAGGACTCCCAAGCACTAGAACTGAATAGCCCTAGATATTTTCACCATCCTTCCCTCACTTAGTGAATTGTGGATACGATTTTTATAGGGTGTGAGCTAGTGCTGCGAGCTCTCTCGGTTTACAAGGTATGAAGTACCACGAATTTCAGAGGGTCCCCAAGGATGGCTCGCAGTGTTGAGGACCCTGCATGTAAGAGAGACTACTTTCACTAGATGGAGTGAAGTATCACTTGAGAAGCAAAATTCACTGTGTGGTATTTCTGAAAGGAAGTGGTTGAAGTTCACTTGCTGGTCACCTCAGAGTGGGGGGGTCTTATGATTTTGGCCTGTTAGAAGGAAGTATCGCGTTCCTACACACTGCAGCACAGCGATGTCCTGGGAGTGCATTTCTCTTACATACAAGCTCTGAATATATCTTATGTGGGGCTCTATGAACTGTTCTTATCCCGTACTCCACCTCCATATTTATGCGACACATTTTAACCCTTAGTTGTGAAACCATAGGCTCAGGGAGCCTTTGCAAAACTCTAGATTGGAAATTTTATCAACCTGATCAGTCAGTGGATCACCGTGGTAAAGAAATCCAGAAAACTATGTGTGGTTCTAATGTGGCTGGTCTTTAACACTTGGCGTCGTGGACATGGGAACTTTATTTCCATTGAATGTGCATCTCTGCATAGATTTTTTTTAAAAATTACCATAGAACACTCAGCAATTTCTGAGCGACATATTTGGAATTTTGAGAAAATGTGGATTACCTCATCATTTTTTCAATTTGTTTGAACAGTTGAATTAAAACTTTAGTAACAGTAAAGCACGCTTACACTGTGACAGACACTGCCCCAAATAATGAATAAAGAACCAACAGACATGAGTCTCCCTTTCACTCAGTTTTTAGGGAGCAGAATATGTTAGCCAATATACGTATTGTCACTGCAAGTGATATCCACAGTCTTAGAACACAGAGTAGGAACAATTTTGCAGGCAACCATGTATTGCATTGTCAGAAAGTGAAAAGAAAAACTGCACTAGACTTAATATATGCCTTTACTTTCCCATAAAAAACATATAGATAACTTCTAGAATAAATTGCCCGGCTTATTTAGTGAAGATATTAATTTCTTCTTGAAATCAACTTTTTTTTTTCCAGGCTGTACTGACCAAGCAGGCTTGATGTTTTTTCTAGTCATACCTTAGCACTGGCTACTTCAGGCCTCCAGGTGGTGAGCCAGAGCTGAGCCTGAAACACAGGCAGGAGATATCTTAACAGATAGAAGGTGCTGAGCCAGACAGAGGCAACAGCCCCAGAACTTGTTAGGGAATCAACATCAGAACACTATACATAGCCCAGTTAGAGAGGAACTTCCTTCAAAAGTAGTGTGATTCACTTCTTAAATCACCAGGTTTTTTTTGAATTTATGTACTGAATATATCTGTTATAGGGGATTTAACACCTTAAGTAATCCTCCCTATCATTGCCAACATGATCCACTCAGCAGTATTTTGTACAATAGTGCACTATCATTTGTGATGACAAGTAACAAAAACTTAGAGGTTATCCCCTGATAACTTGAATTAGCTTAGTCACCTGTTGCACTTTTATTAACTACAGTTTCGCTTAATATTAAGTATTCATTTAATATTTAATACTTCCATCTCTATTCTCTAATATGCCTATAATGTTTCAACCTAAATACTATGAGGGAGAAAATGTCACTGAGGGGTTCATAGGAACCACTCAAAATAGTAGGACAGAAATAAGACAGGAAAGACAGACCTGACAGCACATGCCTGTAATCCCAAGCTCTCAGGTGGCTGAGGAATGGGGAGGTGAGTTCAAATCCAGCATGGACCACACAGTAAAGAAGCAAAAATTGAAATGCTAATTCTGGAGATAGAACTGAAAAAGGAAAATGCAAAACATCAATGGCAAATCTGTCTTCATTTTTCCAATCTAGCCCCTTATCGTAATATAAATACTAGACCTCGTATACTATATTTATTCTACTCCCTGTTCCTCTGGCAGTTATATTATACAAACTCCAAACCACACTACTCCCCAAACCAGTTTATAAAAGGAAACAGGGATGAGAAGAATCATTATTGATCTACATGAAATCTTTTGGAAATTCTACTCACAGACAAAAATACATAATTAACTGTATTTGCTTTAATGCTCTTGGTCACAGATTCCTGACCCATACCATAGCTTGGTGTGGCTATTAGCCTAATCAGCTGCATATCTGAATCCCTAGTTTACTGATTTAAGTTCACTTCTGGTATTTCCAAAATATTGCCAAGTTCCATTGTTCGGTAGCTCAGTTATACACCTGAGACCCAACTCTCTGTTGACCAAAAGGCCAATCTTTCTAAAGCTAGCTCAGATTACAATAAAGTTGGATAAAACCCTCACATTGGAACTACCCTTCTAACTCACAAGATCTTTTATACCAAAAAAAAAAAAAAAAAAAAAAAAAAAAAAAAAACAAATAACTGCCCATCAGGCTTGCTTTCTTTTTACTTAGCAACAGACTCCAATCTCAAAAGTCTGAGCAACATCACATGCAACTGAAGTTTTCTGATAGCTAAGAAAGACAGGAAGCACAACATTGAATTAGGGATGTCCTAGTTGGTCCCAAATGCAGGTGGCAAGTAGTAACACCTTAGCAGTGGAACCTACCTAGCAGTAGTAGGTATGAGATAGTGGCTAGTTCTGGAAAGACAGAATTGACCCTCAAAAAGGCTTTAGCGTGAACCAAAGGAGTGAGAATGGCAACTACTAACACTAGAAATAAGGAAATTAAGTTGAATGCCCCATAAATGGGCTGAAACCATCTATAGGGAGACACTCGGTCTGAGTAAGGAACATGACCCTCAAAGACAATCCTGGACAAAGCACATCCAGAGTCCAATAAAAAAGGTAGATGCCTGGCAAAGACATAATATGCAGATGCTAGTCTGGGAGAATGCAGATGGTGAGGCTAGGGTCTCCTATTCACCATGGCTGCCACTGAGAGGCGTGTGGCCACCTGAACAAAATCAAGAAAGTTGAAGCTCTTCAGTCTGTTTTCAGCTGAAAAGCAGTAGCATAATTTGGAGAGCTTTCACTCATTTGGCAAAGAGTGGTATTGTCTTATATGCTTGCTATACAGTTGAAAGCCAAGCATTCTAGCCCTTAGGTCTAGATATCCAGGATTTTGTGACCCATTCCAGATTTCTGTTATGTTCCAATTCTATTAAAGCCATGATTAAAAGCCTACCCTTAGATATTATAGCTTCGATAGTTTTTGTCGCCTGTCTTAGATTGATTCTAATTCTGTCTCCTTTGTACTCTGACTTGAGAGTCCATGAAATAGTATCAGAATAATAAGATTTCAATAAGTAAATGTTCTGTGCAGGGCAAGACAATGAAGAATATAAAGAAAAAACTCAGCATGGATATCAGCATACCCTGGAACTGAGTCACATAGTGTGACTTTAACATCCTTATCATATAAATCCTAAGGAGGAAGAATGTATTAAGACTTTAAAATAAAATAACATATATGAGATACCATACTCAGAATCTGGCAAGGAGCACTCAAGGAATTAATTTTAATATTGTTCTAATAATATTTGTTATATCAGAGCTTTCATATATAGGGTTCAGGACAAGTGATTTCCATTTTACGTTAACTGATATCTTACATCTCCAGTTGTGTTAATATGGTAAGGCTTTACATTACTTGTTTTAGTCAACGTGTTCATCTGCCCTACTTCTGTCCATTCACATCGAATCCTGCAGATTTCCTAGCACTTTATCTGAAAGGCTTTGGAAGTTGAGTACTTAGGAATATCTTAATATCTCCTGAAAACTTGAAAAATTGAAAGTACAATTCTACTTCAAGATTATTTTTTCAAGTGTTCCATTTCCTTTTGTATCCTTGGAGGACTCCATAGATTAAATATTAATAAAGAGAAGTTTCTGCATATCGCTGTGCTTGGCTTACTAGCTTTAAAAAAACATTAGTATGAAGAGAGGCTAAGACTTTGGGACCATCAATAAACCAGATTAAAGGCAGATTAAAAACCAACATCCAAGTTACATGAGAAATTTTGTTGAAAACCTA